CTGCTGAATTGGGGCACAGGAAATCAGTTTAATCCCCAAATCTTAGGACAGCCTTTAGGCATTTTTGGAGACCTTTCCCTTTGATATTGCTGTTGGCTGGCTTACAGGTCACAGCCCACATGGTCCTAGCTCCTACCTGAGTCACCTCCCTTTTCCTTCTGCATTGACAGGGAGCAGAGGTGCCCTAATTTAGCAGCAAGGATTTTTCTTCCAGAGGTAGTGTCTTAACTTTCAAGTACTGCTCCATGGACAATCACTGTGACTATGCCATTCTTTGACCTGAGGAGAATAGCAGGTCTCGCACTCTCAAAGTATGGTTGGATAGATGTTGAATGGCTTGGATGCCTGGAGGTATCACCAGAGCCATCCACTGAAACGGGGAGCGCAAATGTGGAGCTAGCTGCCTGTAGTCCTACGCAGACAGAATATAAAGATGGCCCCTACAAACAACTGTTTCACAAGGAATGAGAACAGGCAGACACATTATCTCAACGTTACTGCCCCAAATTTAATGGCAGTTGAGTTAATTTGCATAATATGCTGTCCAGCAAAAGGAAATCTGAGTTTCCATGGTACATTGGACTGTACTGAAGTATGGTACATATGCACATTGTATGGTAAAGAAAGGGAAAACAAGTATAAACTGAATGAGTCATTAAGCTAATGAAATCACTGTCATAATGAGTCTAATCAATCTACTAAATGTGGCATTTGTTAAGTGAACGTAAGTGTAACTGAGAGCTGTATGGGTAATTTAATTCTCTTGCTGTGTGCATCTTATCTGCAGGAAAGAGGAAATAAGAAAGAAATATGGCTTGAATGTGCTTTCACAATTCTGTTGCATTTTAGGTACATTTTCATGCCTCAGTTTTTGGCTTCTTAGCTTGCAGTTGTCAGGCTTTAGTCAGGTTGTGGTGGAAGCATCCCTTCTAGAGTATGCTTGTCGGTACATTAGGTAGGTGACTTACAGAACAGGCTGGCCTCTGTTAGATAGAGTAGCTGTGCAACGCTCTTTATTTATGGAGTGCCCATTAATCATTCCCTCCTAAAGGCAAGTGAATCAAATGGAAGAACAGAAGAAAATGCAGTGCTGAACTATAGAAAGGGCATATGTTTGCTCATGCGTATATGTGTATATGGTGATGATATTAATTCTTTCCCATTATAAGCATTTTAAAAGGGAACATCAATGTGGAATGCTATGCTTTGCTATTGGAAAAAAATCAGTTTGTTTGTTTCTTTCTTTGTCATTGCACTGCTTTTCTCATCATTTGGTCTGAAAACAAGAGAAGAGTAGATACTTCATCTATCCAAACCTAGGTTTTATGTGAAGCTGTAAAGGATAAAAGCCATACAGATTCTTTCTTTCATTTCATTTTTTGGATAGTATTTCTTTAGTTTAATTAGTTTATGTCCCAAGCTTGACCTACCTAGAATTCATCATACTGGAGCCTTACAGGGGAAAATACTCTATGAAGTTTGTAATATTGAAAGACGTGGCTAGGCTCCTTTTGAGCTTGCCTTAGAAAGTACCACTAGAGTCAACTTCAACAGAGTTTCTCCAAGTTATTTTTAGTGTGTAGATGTGGATAAGATGTGTTGAAATAGTTCAGAAAAATGCACTTCCTCTCTTAATCATGCTGCTTGTAACACAAGCAAGAAGCTGTGTTATGTTTTTGCAGTGCTCTTCGGCCATTTTGGGGGTAACACCCGCTGTTCCCAAGACAAGAACTTGGTAGGAAAGGGGAGAGCATGGAGATAAGACAGAAGAACAGCAGAAACTGCCTTTTCAGGAGAATATTCTCCCAGGGTTTTTATAAGCTTGCTTTTATTAAAGAGATTCCCCAAAGGCAAGCAAAAATTTCCCATTTTGCTGAGCACTTCGAGTAGAAATTGCTTGAATTTCTTTTGCTGTCCAGCTGCTTTTTAATGTGCAATGGCGAAGATAACCCCAAGCATTCCTTAGCTGCAGAACGAACGTTAATAAGCACACTGAATAAAGGAAAGGAGTTGCTTGAGATTTTCCAGACCATGTTTTACATCTTGTCTAAATCCTTCCCTACATCAGACCCAGGCTGCTCTCCAGGCATTCCTAACATCACAGGTGCACAGGACAGGGAGGCAGCAGGGCAGGAGTGGGAAAGGTGGAGGATAGTCTTTTTGAAGGGGGAAGACAGGTTGTAAAAAGCCCATAACCTAAGCTCCCCTAAGTTGCCTTAATCAGATATTAGGCTCAATATTAGGAGCAAGGAATATCCTTTAGAAACGGAACAAAACCTAACGTTTCTTCAGAGATGGATGGGAGTTGAGGGGCACATCTGGGAAACTAGCCAGTGCATTTAGAGGCCTAAATAGGAGCAGAGTTCGTTGGAAAATCTGGTTTTAACTTACAAAGCAAAAGATGCTTTGCCATTTCCACAAGGCTGCTGTACTGCATTTCTCTCCTTGGCTGAGTTTGTTACAGACTTTACAAGAGAGCACATGCATAAACATGTTTTGTACTTCTGCTTTTAACGAACATGAGTATGGCAGCGTGTTACCGTTTTCATAGCTGCTGTAAAAACCCTCCCTGTACGTCCCCTTTCTCGGGGGTTAAATTCCCTAGCTGTTGCGCTACAGGTAAGGGGTGAAGCTGAACGCTGTGGTGCTTGATTACAAGCACCACAAAGGGTCATTTCAGAAAGCAAAACGTAGCTACTTGAGCTGGATTTTACCTCTTTTCCTTCAAAACCAGCTGGATGATCTTGACAGTCCTTGCTGGTCAGATGTAGGGTAACAAATGGTGGTGTCCTGAGCATCACAGTGCCATTTTGCATCAGGGCACGACATGGTGGGGAGAGTGCTGTTTGTGCAGCTATTACAGCTTCCCATGGTGCCTGTAGTTCCTGAATAGTCTGCCTTTCTCGTACCTGCTCATGGGAGGAGAGCACTAATCACTCCCACATTACTAAGCCTTTCAGGCCTCTTCTTTACGCTCTGCCACGTCCCCCATGGCTGGCAAGGCTCTGTCATTGGGAGGATGGTACAAATGGCATGCTCCTCCTCTGTGCAGGATTCACCTTGAGGACCTCAGCCAGAGCGTGCTGCTCCATATGACCGAGAAGCTGGGCTACAAGAACAGTGACGTCATCAACACTGTGCTGTCAAACAGGGCAAGTCACACACTTGCTATCTACTTTCTACTTAATAAGAAGCTGGAACGCTACTTGGCAAGCCTTAGGGTAAGTACTGCTTGATACTGATTCTTTGGACAAGCAGGTGAGGAGAGTAAAAATGTGCTAAAAGTTTCCTTGCTTGCTGGCATTTGATCCCAAGGCTTTACTCGAGGTTTGAGGTTTTTTTTTCTAATTTTGTAGCAGTAACCATGAAGGGGAAGTATTCCTCGCAAACTGATAACATTATTTCAGATAAGAATTCCCCAGGTTGCAGAGGTAATTGCTGATAGACCTTACGTCTCACGACTCCCTGCTTCCATAGGAGATCCCCTCCAGCTAGGCAATTACCCTATAGCAAGGGCACTGTTGCCATGCAGAACCATACTTTGACTTGTGGCATACTTTGTATGTTGAGATAATTCTGCTGCTTGAAATACCAATAACACAATGTAATTTGATTCAGGAAACCAAGAGGAAGCTTAAGAGCTATTAAGATTTTATTTAGTTTTTAAGTGAAAATGTAGCTGAAAGTTCTACATGAGGAATAACATGAATATAAAGTCTCCTAATCTCCTGCTGACCTTCCTGGCCCCCTGAGTATGGCTTCGAAGTCAGAAACCCTACTGATGGGTTTGCACCATAGCTTTCTCTAGGGCAGGAGTCTGCTTCCTTGTATATCCTAGGGAGTTGAGCTCTCTAGCCACATTTTGTGGGGTATTTGCTGGTGTCCTAGCACACAAAGACAAGCTGCACACTCTCTTCCACTGGCCTCTCTACATACCTGCCTGTGGTCTGGCAAGGAGCCTCAACTTGTTGAAGGTTTGTAGGCTCCTGCGTGATTGCACAGGCAGGAGAGTGGGTTGTATGGAGTTTTCTTTCTTAATGTGTTGGCTTCTTAAAGAAATTATCCCCAACAGCCTTTCAATCTAACAACAGTTTCTTAGTTTTTTTCTTTTCTCAATTTTTTTAGCAAGCTTGTTTTAATGATGATGCCATCAATGATATTTAAAATGTAATGGACCAAATTCACCATCTCTGTAAGTTGATGCACCTCCACTGAATGCCAAGCGTGGATACGGTCCATTAAGCAGTAATTGAACATTAGTTTTCTCTAACTATCTTACATACTTTACTTCTCTGTGCTTCTGTCTCCACAGAAGTCTGAAGGCCAGGACAGTATTTGCCACAAGAATCACCTATACCAGATAGAAAAATACAAGGCAAATAAAGACTCCTGTGAGGTAAAACTCATTAAAGCTCATTAAGGTACTTTGAAAGCAGACTGAATTTGAGGATCCCTGGAGATTGTGATGAAGGCGATGGGTTTCTGGACCCGTGGAGGAAAAAAAGACTTGTGGTCTTGCCTGTGCAGGACATATAATTCCCTCAGTTTCTTTTTGCAAGAACAAATAGCAACCCCCTAGGGTGGAAGTGTAAAGGTGACTTTCAGCTTTTATGAAGAAAATAAAAGTTTCAAGTGCTCTGTTTAGCAAAATAATACAAACTTCTTCGGGGGCTCCGTACTTTCATTCTGGAGTGCAAGCTGCTGGTGGTGTAAAAAGAGCATAACTGTGCTGCTTTGAGTCTCAGGACCTGGGTGGTGTAGGGCAGAGAACTGAGTGACAGCCAGGGTGACCCTCCCTGGTCACCTGGTGTTCCTGGTGCCTGGGCCAGCCCTGGCTTGACTGCCAGAAACGATGAAACTGTATTAGCACAAAACTCTGCCCAGGTTAGAATTTTTTGCTCACTATGCAAAAGTTTTGCATCTTTCTTAGCAGAAGTGATGCAAAACTAGCCCACTGCATCGTGAGGGACTTCACTTGGCCAGAGAAAAGATTTAAGCAGGTTACCTTTTGCTCTGTTGGTCTCCAGTCTTTTTGACTGCAAATAGAGAAGGTAGTTTGTATTAAAAGAATACGTATCAGATAATAGTAGTCTTTTCATGGCTGGATTTTTCTTCTCTGGCTGATTCTTTGCCAAGCACTAAAATTACAAGAGTAATATGAGCTGTCTTACCTACCAACACAAAGAGCAGTATTCTTGAAGAGTCTACATATTTCAAAAGCTACTCTTCAGCGCCGGATTGATGATCTAATTGCAGGGTCAGATTTGTATCATGGCTGGTTTTGTTTGTTTTAAAGACTGCTTGCAAGACAAGCTGAACTGCAAGCCAGCTGGAAATATCAGGGCAGACTACTTATCATTCTTTCCTTGCATAAATCGAAAACCACCTTATTTAAAATGTATCAGCGGTGGGTAGACTCAATGAATATAGTATTCCAAAATGCTCTTTGACAGCTTACTTCAGACTGTTGCAGGGCAACCTTCCCCTGGAAACACAGGCAGGTACCTGGCGGCGAATGCTGCAGGTGTCACATGGTGCATCCTGATGCTCTCTGGGCCAGCTTCCTCCAGGTGCTGGTGCCACTTCCCTGTGCAGTGATGGAGAGGCACAGGCATGCTCCGCCTGCCGTCCAGCCATTAGCTTACAGCTCCTGCGTACCTGCCCCGAGCGGGGGAGCCTGCAGCAAGGCCTGCCTGTGCACCCGCACGTAGCTGAGAGAGAAATGCGTGGTCTGGTTTGGTGCTGGTCCTGAAATCCCTGCGCCCTTAGAGGGGAACTGGTGGTTGACTTCCATAAGGATAATTGAAAACTAATGGCAGTGCCGCTGCATGACCCCAGTTTGGTATGTGGGCGTGCTTCGGGATAAAGACTCCCTCCAAAGCTTCTCCTTGCACTCGGAGTTAGTCCCAGTGGAGCTATTTAGAGGATGAGGGGGTGTTATTTCTTTCTTGAAATAGGTACCTTGATGCAATCACAGTGCAGACACCGCAATAATAATACAGTATATTCTCTTGCTGCATGGGCATAGCTGAGTATAAAGCATGTTTTATGTCGCTTTAGCTGTATTTACAGAAGGGGATTGTGTTACTCTTACTGTACCAGGACAGTTGAAGCAGCACACGTGGGTGAGTAGAGACCCTGGGATGCTACTGCCATTTGTAACTATGGTAGCCATCTCTTCTAAAATGCCTTCATGTGGATGGCAACGCAGCCCGGGTAGTGTCTAGCTCACGCCACTGGGATCAGTGGGTGCCACTGGGACTCAGGGGTAGGGATTTTGTAAGCTCGGGCAGGTTCATGAGCTGCAGATAGAGTCCCCTTATCACCCTCCATTTCCAGAGGGGAACTGGGAGGCACTGGTACCTAGGCAGACACCGCATGGAGAGCATAGCTGTGCGTTGCCATGGGAATAGCAGGCAGAGAGCTGGTCAGCTTCAGCTTCAGCAGACTGAATTTCTTCCACCCCACTCCAGCGATGTGAAATAAGGACTTTGCCTTGGGTGGGGGGCTGCCTGCCAGCACCACTGCCTGTTGCTGGGGCAGGCAGCGGGGGCACACGGGCAGCGGTCATGCCCAGCTCCTCTTCTCCATTAGATTTCCTAACCTGGGGTGGTGGGATCTGTGTGCTGGTGCTGAGGGTGCTGAGAGTTGCTGTTGGTGCTAAGTAACCAGGCAGTTTTGCAGACTTGATTTCATTTTGGTGCTGAGGGCAGATGGGCAGTGCAGGGAGGAGGGAGGGAGGCAGCAGTCTGTCTGTCTCTCTCCATCTCTTTCTTTTTGTTGGAGAACCCTCAGGTGATAAGCGGCCATCCCTCTAGAAAATCCAGGGGACCAGTGCTGGGGCTACCTGCCTCCCGCAGGGTAGCTAGTGGGCTCAGACTTGGGGAATTCGCAAGTTTTAAGAACTTGTGTCATTGTCCTATCACCATTTCAGGCACGGCCAATGCAAATACCCTTTATCTTCCTTTCAGATCCGTTGCTGGGACTAGAATACGTTTTCGGGTCGAGGTCAGGACAGGAAATAGCAGAGGATGATGTAATGCCAAACCTATTCAAGGATAACATACCGGTACAACTCCTGCATTGTGTGACAGCATGCCATTACATGGCTGTGCACAGTACAGTGAAGAGCAAACTTTTGTAACTCACTTGAAGGAAATCTTCCTTTTCTTTTAAAATATAATGATATGTGGCACCCTGGGAGTTTAGGATTTTGGTTGTTTCCCCTCTCACAACCATCATCTAAGAGAAACAATGTTAGGAAGTTTTAAAAATACTTATAAGACTATTTGCAATGTTCATCCAGGGTGAACTAATTAATTGCTAACACCGGATACGGGAATTTTCTTTTCCTGGGTGCTTTAATTGTATGGTATGACTGTGTTACTGCTGCTTAGAAAACATAACAGCTGTGTGAAGGCAAAGTCAGGAGCACTTGGCGGGTGAGGAGCTGCGGCTTGGCTCTTGCCACCATTAGGCTAAAAATATTGCAGCATTGAAACGTCCTGCGTTCTGACAGATGCTGCAACAATCGACATGCAAATTCTTTCCTCACCTATCCAAAATAGCAGAAAGCCGCTAACAATCTTGATCGGCTCCTTTAGGCTTAATATAGTCACCACTTGGTCTCATCCTCACAAGTACCTTTAAAAAAAGATACTCGGTAAAGCCCAGTCTCTGCTGAACTTGGCAGCAGAGTTTCAGAGTCTTGAGAGGAAAAATAATGTGGTGGGCTCAAAATTAACTGTACAGCTCCCACTGACTGTTGTCTCAGGGTGTTATTCACACAATGTCGTTATTATTATTGCTGCCGTTGTTATTACTGTTGTTATTGCTTCATCATCATCAACAATGACCGTGCTCGACAAGATAGTGCCTGGGACCAATCAGACATTGCGTTGTTCCAAGCACAGCATGGGCAGGGAGGAAAAAATGCTCAGAGCTGGGGGTGTTTACAACCTCTAAAGGCAAGGGGGAAGACATCAGGTGGTTGAAGAGGTATCAAGCAAGCGAAGTGGTGACAGCACCATAATACATTGGTTTATTTCTGTGGAAAGGTTAGCCAGCTTTAGCTAGCTAATGGGAAAGAAACTGGAGGGGGTAAGGGACAGATGGAGAGAAGGCTGGGGAAAAAAGTCACATGCACAAAGGGAGACTGAGGTGAAGACATTGAGGAGCTCAGAGAGGATCTCTGGTTCTCAGTCTACCAAGTCTCCTAACCACTTGTGTCATAAAACTAGAAGCCCTAGTTCATGATTCACTGAAATTCTTCCTTCTGACTCCATAACTTCTGAAAATTCAAAGGTTAATGAGCACAGCATTGCCCAAACACCATCTGTGCAGGGGGCTGGACTCTGTCTGAGCTGGGAATGATCAAAGTGGGTGCAGTCCAGTTATTTTCCTCCTAGGTGTCCCAGTATGTTTCCAGAGCTGTGTAGTGGCCCAAGAGAACCCGAGTTGTCTTCTGCATCTTTCTTTCCTTGCCTTTCTCACATGTATGCGTGCTACTTTGCATTTGAGAGTTTCAGTAGACTTCATGTCAATGAACTTTCAAAAGAAAATCATCAAGACAGCCAGCCCTTTGGCAGTGCATCATTATCACAGGCCTCAGCACATAATTGGGTGAAGGAATTCTCCTGCATTTTTAGAAGATGACTTGTAGTTACAGTGACTTTTCAATACGACACAGCGAAACACGTTGCTTAAATGAGAATTACAAACACAGAAAGAATGTCACATGCCCCTCTACAGAAACAACCTCAAAGCAACCAAAGCAAAAGCCCTACTTCTTTGAGATTGACATCTAAAACCACACCACACAGATTTGTTCCAGAAGGGTGAGACATTGTTGAAGTCTTTGAGGGATAGCAAAATATGAGCCACAGATTTGATGCCTGATTTTTCAGAAGTGAAATAAGACTTTTGGCTCCCCCTGAAATCAGTGGCAGGTAGAGTGTTAGGCAACTTGCAGAATAGTGATTCATGTTGAAAAAAGATACAATGAATTTTCACTGTAAAACAGTGCTTTGAAAATTGGATTCCTCTTCAAAGTTCTATTCCCAGGTTCTGTTTTCCCTCTGCCATCACTGGAGATCAAACCTAACTTTTAGGACGTATGTGCTTGCAATTCCACCTTTATCTGCCTTCCTCATCACAAAAAGGAGTTAGGGTCAGTGGGTCAGTAATTTTCTCCCCCTCCATGTCTTCTGCAGTTGCAGAGATGCTGTAAAAGCAAGGGCTGTATTCCTCCAGATCTTGTTTGGACAGAAGATAAATGACTCAAAGAGTTTAAACTTCTTTAAAGCTTTGCACCTCACCTTTTCAAATGTCACCGGAAGTGCAATAAAGGGAAACCAAAGACTTTTCTCAGTGTTTAAATGGGGAGGCAAATTTCAGGTATTGAAGGAACATGAACCTGCATCTGCTTGCTCCAGTGAGCTCTCCTAGGACAAATGGCCTCTGAAGAGAAAGCTTTCCTTTTCGTTTTATTTTCCAAAACCAACTTTCACACTGCATGAGTGTCAGAGCAGATGGGAGCCATGCAGTCATGTCAAACAGATCAGAGGAAAATGAGACATGGAAGATTTAGTTATTTTGCATAGCCAGGATAAGTTCCTTGTAAATGTATAATTTTCAATTCAGCTTCAGTAAGTGGTGTGCTTGTAAGTCTGGGGGTCATTTAAACTTCCCTTAAGTAAACCAAATTGTTCTTGTTTGTTTTACAACTTAAAGGACAAAAAACTCAAACAACAAGAAAAGAAAGGGGACATTCTTCACCGTCAGCTCACAAAGAAAACTGAGAAAAGTCCAGTTTCATATAGACAGCCTTCTTCCTGTCTTATCTCACAGATACAGAACACCAAGGCTCTGCTGAAGGACCGGAAAGTCACCAAGGCTGGAGGTCCAGAGAAAGGTCAGTGGGAGAAATACCAGTGGTGTGTCCCTGTGCACATGTGCACGCGTGGGCATGTGCGGTGTTAATGAAAGCTTGTTGTGTGTTGTGTGTTTGTTAGTAAATAGTCGTGGGCTTGCATTCACTGTCTGCTCTGGAGGTGGTATATGAAAGAGAACTGGATAACGTAGTCAAGCATTGAATAAAACATCCTGAGGAAACCATGATGATGTTCGGCAGTCATGAATCCTCACTGTTACTTCTCTTTTTATTTGACAGAATTCCCACTGTTTTAAAAAAAGCTTTCTTTCTCTATTTATACGTACTTAGACAAAATCATCTGCACTTCACACTGGCACTTTGAAAGCATCAACTCCCACCCCAGATCACTGACAAACCAAAGCCTGTAGAGATGCTTCTTCATACCGGCAAATGCGTTTTGCTAAGGGGGTGATAAAGGGCATCACGGGAAGAAATCCCTGACTGGAGAAGCAGTGGGCAGCAGCTGATGGTGGAAGAAGGGGAATTAGGCAGTCAAAAGGAAATGTGGGTGGGACTGCCAACCCCGGCAAATTTCAGTCAGCAAAGGGAGGGGGAAAGTCATTAATGGGGAAAGGAAAAGACGAGACAGCCAGAGGAGAGGAGAGCATTAATCACACAGGGTCAGAGGCAACCTGGGAGGGATGGGTGAGAGCTGCTAGCAAAAGGAGGCAGAAGAAAGGAGTGGAGGAAAAGAGGAGTCAGCAGGGAAAATGGGGTGTCAGTAGTGCACACGTGGATGTGAGACACTGAGGAGCAGGAAGGTGATGTAGCTGGCTGTTAAATGAGGGAACTAAACAAGGGGAGGTCACTAGAGAGCAGAGGGGGAAAATATGGCAACATAAAATGTTTACCGTGGTGTCGGGGTTATTTAGAGCGGTGGCTTATGATGTTTTTATGCTCTTTCTCGTGACTTGATAATTTATCATATGTTTTCTACCTAAAAAAAAAAGTCAAAATGGTGTTCGTCTGGCAGCACAGGCACCTCTGCTGCAAGATAGCAGTAGTCCATGGAGCTGGTCAGAAAAGAAAAATGTAAAAAACATTTTACAATGCTCATTTGCTCATTTTGTTCAGAATTTGTCATTCCTTTTGGGAGGGAGGCACAGGGGGAAGTAAGCCTAGCTCATTTTTTTTTTCCTCTTTGGGTTTCTCCCTGCTTTTTTGAACTGAAACCTGAAAATCATTCAAATCTCAGCTAAAGCACTTCTCTGCTAATGGGAACCATGTTTTGACGCTTCTTAAGTGAAGTGGTCAAATAATTTTGACCAGTTTTGGAAAGAAACTAGTCAGAAACACTGCTTAGACACACAAGTCTATGGGGCCAGATGGGATCCACCCAAGGATACTGAGGATACTGGAGGAAGTGCTCACTAAGCCACTTTCCGTCATTTATCAGCAGTCCTAGCTAACTGGGGAGGTCCTAGTTGGCTGGAAGTTAGCAAAATTGACACCCATCTACAAGAAGAGCTGGAAGGAGGATCTGGGGAACTATAGGCCTGTCAATCTGACCTTGGTGCCAGGGAAACTTTGGAGCAGATCATCTTGAGTGCCATCATGCGGCATGTACAGGACAACCAGGTGATCAGGCCCAGTCAGCATGGGTTCACGAAAGGCAGGTCCTGCTTGACCAACCTGATTTTCTATGACAAGGTGGATGAGGGAAAGGCTGTGGATGTTGTCTACCTGGACTTTAGTAAAGCCTTTGTCACTGTTTCCCACAGCATTGTCCTGGAGAAATGGCTGCTAATGGCTTGGATGGGCATACTCTTTGCTGGGTAAAAAACTGGATGGATGACTGGGCCTAAAGACTTGTGGTGAACAGAGTTAAATCCAGTTGGCGGCTGGTCACAAGTGGTGTTCCCCAGGGCTCAGTATTGGGGCCAGTTCTGTTTTATATCTTGACCAATGATCTGGATGAGGGGATCGAGTGCTCCCTCAGTAAGTTTGCAGGCGACACCAAGCTGGGTGGGAGTATTGATCTGCTCGAGGGTAGGAGGGCTCTGCAGGGGGATCTGGACAGGCTGGATCGATGGGCAAAGGTCAACTGTATGAGGTGTAATAAGGCCAAGTGCCGGGTCTGCCGGTTCCTGCACTTCGGTCACAACAACCCCATGCAACGCTACAGGCTTGGGGAGGAGTGGCTGGAGAGCTGCCAGGCGGAAAGGGACCTGGGGGTGCTGTTTGACAGCCGGCTGAACATGAGCCGGCAGTGTGCCCAGGTGGCCAAGAAGACCAACAGTGTCCTGTCCTTGACCACCTGTGCCCAGGTGGCCAAGAAGACCAACACCTTCCTATCAGAAGTAGTGTGGCCAGCAGGAGTAGGGAAGTGATGGTGCCCCTGTACTCGGCACTGGTGAGGCCACAGCTCGAATCCTGTGTTCAGTTTTGGGCCCCTCACTACAAGAAGGACATTGAGGTGCTGGAGTGTGTCCAGAGAAGGGCAACGAAGCTGGTGATGAAGGATCTGGAGCATAAGTCTTACAAGGCGTGGTTGAGGGAACTGGGGTTGTTTAGTCTGGAGAAAAGGAGAAGAGGAGGCTGAGGGGAGACCTTATCGCTCTCTACAGCTACCTGAAAGGAGGTTGTAGCAAGGTGGGTGTTGGTGTCTCCTCCCAAATTAACAAGTGATAGGGCAAGAGGGTATGGCCTCAAGTTGCGCCAGGGCAGGTTTGGATTGGGTATTAGGAAAAACTTCTTCACTGAAAGTTGTCAAGCATTGGAACAGGCTGCCCAGGGAAGTCTTGGGCAAATACCATCCCTGGAGCTGTCTGAAAGACATGTAGATGTGGTGCTTAGGGACATGGTTTAGTGGTGGACTTGGCAGTGCTAGGTTAACAGTTGGACTTGACCTTAAAGGTCTTTTCCAACTGAAATGATTCTATGATTCTATTCTATGATTTTGACCATCTGTTTGTTCAGGATTCAATGTGAAGTATGGAGCAGAGAGTTACTTAAATTAAACCAGATCTGCTTTTCCCAAACAACTCAGTGTGAGTGATTTCATCCGGTACATCCATTCAAGTCTCAACTGCTGCCAAGACCATCCTTTTCAAAAGAAATAGGTGTGAGATTTGTGGCTTTGACCTGAGGGCTGGTAGACTTAAATTATTTTATAACCCTTTTAGATGGTTTGAGACCGAGAGACAGTGATTAACTGGTGGTCCACTATTCTTTCAGTTAGGGGGAACCTAGCAAAACAGGCTCCTTGGACAGCTTTCCATAAAGGCAGCAAAGCATGTTTTCTTGCAAGTAGCTCGGCATAAGTGAGTGCCAGCATCCTGTAGAAACTGAGCAGATCTTCTCCACGAGCTGTTTTGTTTTACTGGGCCAAACCCTGCAAAGATTGTTCCATTTATATTCAGTCCTTGCTGGGGGAAGATTCTCGCTGAAGTCAATGCAGCAAATCTGTTCCAGCTGCAACAGCCTGAATCTGGCCGGTGCATCTACTCCATATTTACATGTGTGAAACCAAGAACAGATTTTGTTCCAAAATGCAAGTAAAGACATTAGGGATTAACTCACAGTTGTCCCCTGTGTCTCTAGGTATGTCAGTGAATACAGTATGCAACCCAGTTAAAACAATGCAAAGTTGTGCTAAGAAAGGAGAAATGTGAGATTTCTCAGACATGGCCTTAGAGGATATAATTAATACAAACAACTGAAGACATCTGTGGTTTTCCATTTCATGTCCTTGTCTTACTCAGTTTAAGCACTCTTCCTGCCTTTGAGGAAAATGGCAGATAAATTACCCATGAAACAACAATGTGAGTATCAAATGAGAGTCAGGGAATTAGGTTCTGAGTATATCCCTAAGACCATTTGTTTTAGCTAGTGCGTTTGTCACGCTCTTCTAAAATTTGTTAAAGGTGACGCCGGATGCTGCCTGCCGTAAGGCAGAGAAGGCAGTGCTGTTAAATGCAATCTGTTCTTCTGGTTCCTTTTCTGATTGCTTTGCAGACTCCAGCGGTGGGGTAAGCCCTTTCCATGAACCTCTGGCAACCAAGACAGGTTGCGTCACTTCCAGCTCCCTGGAGTACCTTGAAGTCCAGCAGCCACCCCCGAGAACGCCTCGGCTCCTCAAGAGGCAGGAGTCTCCACAGCAGGAGCCAGGCCGGGTCGGGGGCCGGGCAAAGGACTCTCCTCTCATCCTGAATATTGTGCACTCCTTTGAGTCGGTTGACAGAGAAGACCAAATAGACCAGGTCTCCCCCTCTCATCAGTACAGGATTTTAGGCTCGCCAATGAATTTCCCTTACAAAAGCTCAAGTGAAAGGACACTGTCCCCGCTTTTTCAGCCAGGGAGTACATCCCCCGTCCACCCCACCCAAGTCTCTTTCACATATGAAGAAAAAGCGTATCTGGCAAAGGAAGAAGCGGTGTCTCCTACTCAGCTGGTTTCCAACAACCCCTTGGGCAGCCCTAACTGTGTTAAAAGCAGAGGCAGATTCCCCATGATGGGGATCGGGCAGATGCTGCGGAAGAGGAACCAGACGATGCAGTCGGTGAGCGACAAGCCGCTGGAAGCGAGGATGCCTCAGCTGCAGCAGATGAGCCCCACGCAGATTTCCTTCAATGCAGCAGATGCTGTCAGCGGCCAGTGTTAGTCTGACAACTCGGGATTTGCACTGCTGTTCTCTGGGACCTAACTTTTTTTTTACCTTTAACAAGAAGGGAAAGCCACAGGCATGTTAGTGTCACTACATAATACACTGCAGTGGTCCAACATAGAAAATCAGAGGTCTGCCTGTAAGGAAGGTGTTGTCCTACATATTAAAGTTGAAAGAAAAGGGCTCTGCTTGTGCTGTTAAGAAGTACTCGCATTTGGCATCTGACTATACAGTAAAACATGTCTTGAAAGAGGTACGTGAATATGTATTCACTGGTCTCCTTGAGTATTGCAGTAAGGTTGATTGGAAGAGCAGCGAGCATTAACAGTTTGATTCACCAAGGTAAGCTGCATGGTGCCATGAATGCTGGTCCCATCCAGAATTTGTGGTAAGACTGTCTGTGCTCCATCTGCCTGTGCCACACAGTACATGGTGCTGCTGCAGGCATTGTTCACGTGCCTAGACAAATGGAAAAACTCAAGATACTACGTCCAAAGTCAGCTTGCTAACAAGCACTGCCAAGATGATGAAGTTGGTTGATGCTTGAATGAAGACATGAGTGATCTAAACATTCAGAAATAGTGAGAGTGTTGGAAGTCAAAGCAGATTTTATTGTTAATTACATGAAGTAGCTAATAACAGAATAATTTTTTTCCTAAAGAAAAAGATGATTTAATGATGTCACTGAGAAGAAACATTATTATTTAAAAACAAATTTCATCACATGGAAATTCACTTCACTACAGGCCTGTTCCTTCCATATGATGGGTCTGCAAGCAGATGCTTCAAACTAATCCAGATTGCAACACGCTGTGTTTAAACAATCCAGTCACCTCCGATTTTTGTAGCCGTACTAGTTCTGTGGTGCGCATATGTGGAGGACTGCGTTAATCCCTTGTTACAGCAAGGCAGCACTGGACACACCTGAAGGCTTCTCTGAGAGACTGCAGTGAATTAAAAAGACTAATAAAGGACACATGAACCTGTACCAATGCCATTTTATACTGCAAGATTGGTAATGGAGTGGTTACCAAAAATTCGGTATCGTTACGAGCGATAAAGGCACCATGTTCTGCATACCGGTCTTGTTTTTCTAAGTAAATGATGTATCTGAGAGGTTGGCAATGTTTTTTTGGTTCTGTTTTTGTCTTCAAACCATTTCCTATAAATTAGAAGGTTTAGCCAAAGACTACTCTTTTCCTTCATCTGTACTGTGCTTGTGTATGTATTTGTGTGTACGGGACGTCTCAGCGAAGCTTGTTCCAGTCTGGTACTCAAGTAGGCAGCTGTGGCCTGTGTATCCCTCATGTGCCCACCCACCTAATGTCATTTCAAAACCCAGGCAGCAGAGGCATTGTCTTCTTCTTGGGACTGTTGCTGGAAGACAAGGATTTTGCCTTGAGACCATCGGTAGGGATTCAAGCCGTAATCTTACCAGTATTTTTGCAAACGATTTTGTGGCCCCATTGCTTTGGTGCCTGTGCCGATGCTCAGAGTTATCCCTGTTTGAAAAGACTTCCTTCCAGTTTCATGAGAGAGATACACAGGGACTGGGGGAGGAGGGCCAGCAGAGGCAGGGGAGAAGGTCCCCGGCAGAGCCCATAGCTAAGTGCACATTCCCGATTCTCAGTCTTACGCCAAAATCTGCAAGAAAAAAATTAGACGTTAATCCAAATACTGACAGAACAGATAAGTGGACTGTTCGGTATTTTGAATGCTTGCTGGCAAAACCAGCAGAGTGTGAATGCCTAGAGCGCCCTTCTCATCCCCACAGATGGGACCTTCACCTCGGCACTGAAGCTGTCTGTCAGTTCAGTACAGGGGAGTCCATATGTGTCTTGGACTCTTCAGTGTGGTGAGGACACCCACCTCTGGGATAGTTAAGCTACCTGTAAAATAATACACACAAAAATACCAATATGATAAGAAAGACAGCCCTGAAAAAATTGTGCTCATTTTCTGATTGAAAAATGTCATCCTCTGCTTGTACAGAGCACCAGTGCATCCCTGGGCTCCATTTTAGCTCTTCCTTTTGTTTAAAAACATCAAAGCATTTTCTTTTCCTTCACGCTAAGAACATGTTTGCGCTGCAAAGCTAGCGAGTGGGGACCACTGAAATCCGGTCTTCTGCGTGCATCGGACTTGCATACCTGAACAGATGGCAGATACTGACTTGAATTACAAACTCAGGTTTATTTGGAACCCAATAAAAGGTTGGGGGAGGCAGGAAAGAGACATGTATTTTTTGTGAAAACCCAGTAAATATGTTTAAGAATCAGAATGAAAACAGAAATGTTAAATCTTTTATTATATTTATAGAGAATATATGAATACTACACTGCTAAAACATAACCATGTATTCAGCTTAGAAGGTAGCTATGTACAGTCAAACTGCAGTGACCATAGGAGGGACTTACTGAAATACAGTAGTGGAAATTCCAGGGGAAAAAATTGTATTTGTTATCATTATTAAATATATGTACTTTTTGAACAAGATTGCCATGGACTTGCTGACTTTGTTTGCCAGGTTACAATGTAGCAAGGGTTATCTAAGTACAAACCAACAAAACGGTGAGGTGACAAGAGGATTGCCAGGACTTCTTTTACCTTCACCCGTCAAAGACTGTCCCTTTGAATCTGGCAGCTGACTTGCCGATAAACCCTGAATAAGCTGAAAGGCACAAGGTGGGATTAGCCCTCTGCAAGTTGTGCATCTAACCTTTGGTCATCGTCCAAGCTCTATGTGTCACTCGTGGAGGCCGATAGGTATATCCAGTTCTTCCCACCTTAAAACCGAGGTCCAAAATGGTGGGAATGAAATTGCTCCTCAGCAATGCATGGCTGTTCCCAGATACGAAGGAGGGAATAGGGTCAGCCAGCTCAGATGAGAATCCAGTTTTTAGACAGCCACAGGAAGTCACACCAATATAAACAGAAGCATTTTCTGATCAGCTTTCTGCACCTCTGGGCTTCATGTCTTCAAGTTGTAGGGATGAGTCCTACCTTTGCTAGCTTACTGCTGCCATGCAAACTGGCGATCAGCCTTGCAGCTTCAGCTGGAGCATTTCTGTGGTGGATAGCACAACTCTTCTAAGTACTGTTTCTTCATCCTCCTACCTTTTTACAATGTGTTTCCTGCAACCGCTCTGAAGACCTCCGACATCAGCTGATGGTCTTTTTTCTGGTGTTTGCAATAGGCTCGGCACCGAGCCTGTAATGAACCTGTTTGATAGATCTGAAAACGCACTTTTGACTTCAGGTCTTGCACTGCGGAAAAGAGCACTGCTGAGCTCTGGGTGCGAGGTAGAAGCACCATGGCTTTATGGGGCCTTTTTTAGGTTCTGTTCACGTGGAGAAGGGAGTGAACTCACTCAGGGGAGTCAAGGGAGCAGCTGCGAAGCACTTGCTTAAAGATGGTTTTGCAAACTAACAGATCACTGGACAGCAGGATCCATAGTGATAAAAGTGATTTTGTTCAGGATCTTCTGCCTGGAAAAATAGATGTCGAATTTATTCAGCAAGGCAACACAAACAGCATCTGTTGCCAAAGGTGTTGGTCTTTGTACTTCTCCTGCATATGGGCTGATAAATACTAAAATTCCCAAGTATCTAGGTTTACAATTCCCAAAAATAAATAGCAGTTACTTTCATACTTTGGCAGTTGACATCTGTTGATCTTTGCAACAAAACGCTTTTGCGTGTGGCTGCAAAAAGCTTGGGTCGGGTTCGCAGGAGACTTTCTCGTCTCCAGTGCACCAGTAAGATGATTTGTCAGCCACTCCCCGGAGCCAGCCCAGCACAAATCCGCCCAGGCCAGCAATGTGGCTGTGGATAATGTATGGAAGAAGGGAAGGGAGGGAGGAGAAAGACTTGGTGGTCCGTATGGTATTGCTGTACTTCTGCCGGGCAGACCGTGTGTCAACGGCAGAGCGTGAGGCCAGCGGGTAATTTCGGTGCGTTGCTGGGTCTAGGGCTGCCACTTGTGGTAAGGGAGTTTTAGGGTGGCACAGATACACCCCTGCACAGCTGGTCTGGCAAAAACCTGCAACCCAAGAGGAAGCTGACCCTTTATTTGCTCATTTGTAATTAAGCTTTAGACTCCACCGTTTGAAGGACCCCAAGCTCATAAGGGCCTTGCTTATCAAGAAGTGAGCAGAAATTTCAGGGACGCTCTCGCTGTGTGCAGTAGTTCGGAGTCTGCCTGCCCCTTCCCTGCTTTTTTAGTACTTGGTGGGCACAAACGGTCAATTTTCTTTTTTGCCTCCCCCTCCATGTAGCTTCCCTGGAGCATAACAAAACTGCTGGGTACAGCACCGGGGCCTGTTTTTCCTATTAAGAAGTTACCATAGCTCTGTGGACGGAGAGCTACAAATCACTCACGTGCAGAAATACAGCCGTGTGGCAAATTCATGACTAGGTGTGACTCCTACGGTCTTTCAGCAAGCTCCCTGCCTCCTGGTTGTGCGACTCGTTTGCATCGGAAACGGTCTCGAGCAGGAACAGCATGGGGGAATACTGGGAGAAGGTTCAACTTTATGTCATCGCTTCTCGTCGAGAAACGTGTTCCCTCAGAAGTGAGCGAGTGTCTTATTCGCAGCAGGTTTTCTGTCAAGGGAGCTGCTTGAGCCGTGACTCCTAAGCCACGTACGTTGGCATGTGTTTCCCAGGGCGCGTTTGCGTTGCCTGTAATTGTCTTTCACAGAGGTGGCTTGCAGATGTATGTAGGGGGAGGACAGGTGCAATAATTTGGAGTCCTTTCAATATTTAATATCAAAAGAAGCCTGCAATACGATGCTTTCTGTTATTGAGGTCCAGGCAATCAGCTGTTGCTAGAAACAAAGGGTGTCAAGACAGAGCCTAGGAGTAGGGTTTGGAGTTCACCTAAGCACCTCTGCTGTCTGCCTGCTCATGCCAGGGCAGTGAAAAGCCCAAGAGAGAAGAAATGAGAGGAGGGTTTATTGATGAAGGGGGAGGTGCTAAACTTGTTTTAAAATTTT